TGCACAGAATTGTTTATAGGGATACTCCGATATCCGAGACATTAATGGGAAGACACTGGAAATGTAAAAGGGGATGCTTTTACAACTTCAGAGCAATTTTACGGAAGATTATTTATTGTTGTTAGTTATAATTTTATTATATTCTATTGTTAGAATTGCTTTTGTTTTTACCTCATTTATTTTATTCGGTTATTGTGTCATCTACAAATATTGTGATGTCCCTATATGTAAAATTATGAGTCAAGTGGTTACAAGTTGTTATGAAGTTTACGCGGTTAAACTAAATTATACTCTTCTGTAGGTTATCCTGCATTTTAAAGACAAATGATAGGGGTTTTCGTTGCCAATTCTTCCATAATTGCATTACTTAACATGAAAATGCTTCCTTCCACTTTCCATGGCTTGTAAGCTTTGAACAAAAACATTTTTCATAAACTAAAAAAAAATTAAGTAAAATCGCGGGTTGTGTCCTCTTGAGCTGCGCGACGTGACGCCGCGACCGCGCACGCTGCTCATGAGGAAGAACCCCTCTGTAGTTCGAAACTAGTAGAGCTTTTCTCAGTATATTCACGTGAGTAACCCGCGATTTTACTTAAGTTAGTATGTCTCACGATAGTTTGACTTCATGTTTACTACACATAACACCCGTACCGCGAACAATTACCCATAGTACGTAGCATAACAGCCGATTACTCAACCACCTATGGTTTTGAAGAAGGAAAATCATTTCATTCTTTTTTATTTTTTTATGGAATAGGAGGCAAACGAGCAGACGGATCACCTGATGGTAAGCGATCGGCGTCGCCCATGGCACATCAAAGACTTCTCCCAGCTTAGGTGAAGCGAGAGGAAGTGTCAGACTCTTACTGCCTGAAAACCACCCCGTTCCTACTTCTACTTCTAGTCGGAGCGCCAGCAACCCATTAGGTCGTTCACAGCTCCGGATTACTCAACTTGCTGTCAATTTAATACGCGATAAATAAAGAGTAAACATTAATCATTTCACGTTACGGGTTAATGTGAAGGAAAGACGAGGTAATTAATATTAATGCTCCTTAGTACACGTTGTATCAATTAATTATTTATACCTGTCTGAGTTTGGAGTATGAACAAAGGATTTTGGCAGATTAATTTGTTCTCGGCTCGGTATTACGTTGGTTACTTGTTACGGATGATATGAGAATTATTACGTTAAACATATTTACGTTGTTACTCAGTAAATAACATCAGAATTATATTCACAGTTGAGTTTATACACTTTCCACTTGTCATGTCTGAGTCTATCACTAGGTGGGTATTAGTAGTATTGGATGCGATTTTTTTAGATTTAAATTTAGGGGCTCAAATATGTTTAACAGGATTCTATGCAGAGTCACGCTCAGTGATGTGGTTTGCATTACACTATTAAACTATTGAAACACAATTACAACTCAAACAAGGAACATTCCATCACCTATTGTTCTATATCCGTATTTCTGGAACTTTCTACAGAAACTAGTTTATAGTTTCTCTGCACATTCAGCTGCATTGCAGCATTGCATCTGCAAATCAGTCACCTAGTGCGGTAATCTCGGGTTTGGCAAACATTTGTACACAAGTAGGTGAAGTATTTGTGCCAAGACCCAATAAACCGTTAATTCGATTTGATAGCATTGCCATCGCTCTGACGTGTCTTGGAATGTTCCGAATTATACTACTCGTAGGTAAAGTTTTAACGACTGTTCTGTGTTTCGGAGGAAATTTCGTCGATAGATGCTAGTTATGATGAATATCTGGGTATTTGTCTAGACTAGATTGTCTTAAATGAACCGAGTCCTGTTGATGTTGCACGAAACTTCAGTATTCTTAATACAAACCTTTTGGCAGTTTGTCTTGACATTCATCTAATAAAGTTTTTAGTTATGATCAAGTGTGGGAGAGCCATGCTTCGGCACGAATGAGCCGGCTCGACCGGAGTGATACCACTGCCTCACAGAAAACCGACGTGAAGCAACGCTTGCGTTGTGTTTCGTCGTGTGAGTGAGGTTACCGGAGGTCCAATTACCCTCCCCTTACCCAATCTCCCCAATCCCTGAATCCCCAACGATCCTCAAACTCCTAATCCCCAAAAGGCCGGTAACGCACTTGTAATGCCTCCGGTGTTCCAGGTGTCCATGGGCGACGCAGATTGCTTACTATCAAGTGATCCGACTGCTTATTTACCGGCTTATGCCATAAAACAAAAAAAAAAGTGCACAAGATTGGAAGAAAGAAAGCATTGCAAGTCGTTTACTAAATAAATATACAACATCACTTTTAATATTACTACTACTTATATAAATTGATTGTCTAAACTCTCATCGAAATATCCTAGACCCGCAAAGTTTACTGCAAGTGGAATTTATAGTATTCCAGATTCCGAACAGACTTTAGCCAGAGTTTAAATTACAGTTCTGACAACAGACAAACTTTGGTCTGAAAACCATTTATTTTGTAAGCATTTGAACTATCTAAACGAGTTTAGTAATTCGCAATGAAAATGTCTAATTGAAATGAATTAATGTTCTCAAAACTTGTCCAGGAAGATAAATGATTTGTGGTACCACCGTTCTATACGGTAATTATAGGGGGTACAATCGAATATTACATTAATGTACAGGTACTTCTTCTTTTACTTTATATACCTTTTTTTAAAAAAAACAATCGTCCCATAGTAGGATTTTGTCCAGTGTCGCGTGTCGTCCGTTTAAAAACATACAAGTTCACATACACATGACACCCTGATCCGAAACAACAATGTGTGGATCACACAAAAAGTTGTTCCGTGCGGGAATCGAACCCGCGACACGTTGCACGGTAGCCAGTTGCCCATCCACCGCGCCAACCGTGCAGTTAAAAATACTTAATTTTATCCCTATTACATTTTTAATAATAAGTTTATTAATTAGGTTTCTTCTTGAAAAGGATGAATCGAGGTAATCTTTGACCGAGCGATTACTAATTAAACCGGTATAGCAAAGTAATTAAGAGCTCAAAGGACTAAAGTTATAAACCATAAAAAAAACTTAACATAACATCACGCCTTTTATCCCCGAAGGGGATGTTATGTTAAGTGTTTATGCCACTGTACAATGTAACACCCACTTTTCACTATTTATATTATGAGTCCCATGTGATAGGGGGTGAGCCTATTGCCATATACCGGACACAATTCCAGACTCCGTGCTACTATTGAGATTTTTTTTTTGATAACCCAGTAATACTTTGCCCGACCCGGGAATCGAACCCGAGACCCCTTGCCCGGCGGTCGTACTTGCGACCAATCGGTCAACGTGGCAGTATTATTATTTTATTGAGTTATTAAGTAGAATTTATTGTATTTTCTTTATTAAAAAAATACAATAAAATCAACTTATGTTTCATTCTCTCTGTCCAACCTAACAATAGAAAAACACGTGTATATGAACAGTGGTCGCGTCGCGTGGCAGTCTGTAGTGACAGTTGGAATAGTCGACACGAAGGTATACAAACATGGAGTTCGATTCATACAAGTTGCATGACATGTTTACAGCTGATACCTTCGATTTCCCATTCAACTGCCACGCCTGCCGACCGTAGTACTGAATATGAAAAAATAAGTGTTATTTCACGGAACTGTATTGTGGAAGTAGAGTAAGGTACTACTTTAAATAGAAACTGAATTAGAGTGCCTTAAATATTGGTGACTACTAACAGCGTTTCGGATAATCAGATTATTTAGAAGAGCTTGGAAGCCAGTTAAACTGTCAAACACCAAGCGGTCACCGGTGACCGCAACCTATTGTTCTATAATTGTGTCTATAATGACGGTACTCGACGAGTTAATACGAAAAAAAAACCTGTTATACTAATGTGATAGTATGTGGACAGATTGAGATAAAATCATGCATTAAACAGCTCTAGTGAAATGTATAGATAACGAATAAATATAATGCTAAATAAAATAAAAAACTAACAAAATTAAAAAAAATATACTCACGTGAATATACTGAGAAAAGCTCAACTAGTTTCGAACCACAGAGGGATTCTTCCTCATGAGCAGCGTGTGCGGTCGCGGCGACGACGCGCAGCTCAGTAGACCTTTTCTCAGTATATTCACGTGAGTAAACTGCGATTTTAATTAATTTAGTATGTCTCGCGATAGTTATTATAAAATCATCAGATGCTTTTGATTAGGACTCAGTTGAATGCTTCGTACCAACGGTTCTAAACAGTCTAATAAAGTTTCTACTAAAACAGACGTTTTAATTTCACAACAACACAGGAAATTTCTTAAAGGCTTAAACACACTATAATATTATAAATGTGAAAGTTTCTTTCTTTTGATGTTTGGATATTTGTCCGTCAATCACACTGAAACTACTGAACGGATTTTGAAGAAATTTCGTATACAGGCAGGGTATGGGCTGACTTAGGTGGTAGGATACTTATCTCGATTAAATGGAATCTCGCGGAATACGCGGGCAAAGCCGCGGGTAAAAGCTAGTTACAAAATATAGTAAATTAAAAGTCACTGTCGGTAATCTTACCAGATTGCAGTATTCTCTAGTCGTAGGCAAAATGAATTCAAGAATTATCTGGAAAGTAATGAAGCAAGGAGTAATCTTTCGGAGAAATCAGAGAATCAAGATAATTGTGCTGGCGGGGAGCCAACGATCGATCGTTACCAGTCAAAGACTGGAAGATCACGATAGCACACACGTGGTACCAACTGATGCTTTATTGTACTGCAGTATGGCCCATTACTACTATTACTGCATAAATACAGTTATTTTGGTAGTAAATAAAAGGGTTTATGACATTTAATAATAGTTGGGCTTGCACTTCTAAGATTTGTTTATTGCTTATTAGATCTATTATCTCAGGAATTAAACTATTAAATGAAAAAGAAATTGCCGAAATCGGGATTTAAGATTTTCAAGTATATTGTATTAGTCACACTACGTATCTGCAGATTGTGTATGTGTGTGTGTCCATCTCAGGAGAATCTCGTAACCTACAAGTGGAGGGCGCGGTGTTTGAGCGCGCCGCGGAGCTGCTGCGCCGCTCGCCCGAGTTCACAGTCCTCGCCTCGCTCAGGCAAGAGCCTGCCAACTCTGGCACTATACTCTCCTTCTCACATGGATACAACAGGTAACCACTGCCCGCAATGTACTCGATGTTGTCTTACTTTTGTTTTTATTTATATTCCTATTTTCGTAGCACGATTTTTGCTTATGTGTTTTATATATTACTGTAATGTAGTATTGGTAATGGGGCTACAAAGTTTAAGGTACTTTAACGATAAACTAATAAGTCCAAAATTAAAAAGAAAACAATAAAATATTTTATATGTTAAAATAAGTACCTCTACGTTTGGCACTCTACGAACCGTAGCGTTCGTCGTAGCACTTGCTACGCGGCGTAGCACTGCTGTAGCAACTGCAGACTGGCTACCAATGTTGATGTTTGAATAATTAAATTGTTGAAGTCCCGATTTCACGACTTAATTATATATTCATCTGGTATCGAGTAGTGGAAGTGGATGGCGCCCCCGGGGCAGTGGAGTCGCGGTGAGCGGCGAGCGGCGAGGGCGCGCCGCAGCCGAGGCGCCGCTCCGCACGGTGAGTTCTAGATCTCAACATCGCTGCGCGCACGCATGCCTCCGCCTCGCACGGCGGCATGCGTGCGCGCCTCTAGGGGAGAATCATGTATCTTGGAATGTCCTGTGCCTCGGAATGTCCTCCTCGATCCATCCGTTGACCTGATTGCGCTCACTGTCACATCTGCATGGATGTATGTGTGCGCGGACGGGCCGGCTTGCATGCGCCCCCGCGCCCCCCGCGTCCTTCGCCGCCGTCCGTCTTGTGTTCTGTGTCTTGACGTTTTGTGTTCTGTATATGTCCGATCGCCCCCACGATCCTCGTTCGATGTTCTGTTACCTGGATGTTGTTGTTAGTGGCCGCCCGCCTCGCGCTACTCCGAGGGGACTCCGCCGAGCTGTTCCGCACTTGCATTCCAAGCGACATGGGAATCCTGTTTGTCTCGTACTGTGTCTAACATCTCGCGCGGCGCACTCGCCGTCCCGCGCTTCGGTGATCGCAGTTAATTGTTCGGTCAAAATTCTCCCTTAAACTATGAGAGCGGTCACCGCGCACCGCCCGGAGCGACTAACCAGACTCGTTAGCGTCTCCGTCGGCACCGAACGCAATCGTTCCGAGGTACATGGTCCCCCATCCTGGCCGAGCGATATTGAGATGTAGAGCGAGCCGAGGTCCGCTCGCGGCCGGTCCCGTCCCGTCGCCGTCCGATATATGTGTTGTTTGCTTTGTTTATGTGTACCTCGGAACAGTATGCGAGGCGGGGCGGAGTCGCTCCGGGAGCGCGCGTGGTGTCGCGCGGTGTGTCAGTGCAGCTGTGTGTCGCAGGTACCTGGAGGTGCAGTCGAGCGGGCGGCGCGACGAGGTGCGCCTGCACTACGTGGCGGCGGGTGGCAGTGCGCCGCGGGTCGAGACCTTCCCGTTCCGACTGGCAGACGGCGCGTGGCACCGGCTGGCGCTGGCCGTGTCGGGCGCCCAGGCCACGCTGCTCGTGGACTGCCACCCGCTGTATCGCCGCCTCATCCCGCCGCCTGACCGCAACTTCACACAGCCACAGCTAGCGCTCTGGCTTGGCCAGAGGAACAGCAAACATTCCTTATTTAAGGTAACTTCTTGATAATTAAGTATACAACACAGTTCAAGAACAATGACAAAGTAATAGGAAAGATAGGTGGTATTATTAATACTTACATTTATCATTTCAGGGTACATTACAAGAAGTAAGACTGGTGAGCGGGCCTCACGGCTACCTGGCACAATGTCCGGGGCTCGACTCGGAATGTCCCACATGTGGGCAATTCGCTCTGCTGCAAGCTACGGTGCAGGAGCTCACTACACATATCCATGACCTCTCACTCAAGGTGAAACCTCATTAAAAGAGTAATTACTTACTGCTTCACTAATACGGGTAAACTATATTTCTTAAGAAAATATTCTACGGGTGGAATATTTTGAGTCTAGTTTTGTTTTCAGACTTTATAATAAAGACGAGTTCAGCATTTCCTATGCGACTATTGTATTGTGAGAATAAACACCAAAACATATTCAGAGTCCAGTCCAGAAAGAACCTAACAGTTAGGATGAACCATGACAAGACCTGCGGATGTGTCAGTTTATATTACTAAACACTTTCATTAACTTAATATGTTCCAGTTGGTTGGCACGGAGGCAAGGTTAGCACGACTCGAGCAATGTGATTGTCAAAAGTCGTGCTTCTCCAACGGCACAGTCCACGCTGACGGTGCCACGTGGCAACGAGACTGCAATAGGTGCTCCTGTGTGGTATGTAACTAGACCACTACTTACCGTATGAGCCTTTGTTACAAGGGAGTACTATCTGTGTTGTTTGTTCACCAGCACGGCGAGATAACGTGCAGGCCAGTCGAGTGCGATAGAGCTGAGTGCAAGAACCCGGTGCTGCATCCGGGGGAATGTTGCCCAACATGTTTGAGTAAGTACAGTCAACAATACAACATTCTATAGTATGACGGATGCTATAAAAATATCAAAATTTGAGGTCTCACAACTCTCAGAAGTCAGATATTTAAGAATCCACCTCTTACATTTCCAGGGCAGTGCCTTCTAAAGGGAACATTATACGAGCATGGGGAGCGTTTTGCTCCGAAGGAGTGCGCGGAGTGCGTGTGCCACGACGGCAACATGCAGTGCACGCGCGTCGACCCCGAGGTGGCGTGCCCGCCGCTACCGTGCGACGTCGCCGACCAGTTCACCGTGCCTGGCGAGTGCTGCAAGTTCTGTCCAGGTAAAAAGCATAATGTTACTGCACTTATCTGGAGATTATATTACATTTAACTGTACACTGTTGTGTACATTAGATTAGAAATTGATATTATGAACCAGAACATAGTTATCGTCTACCGAACAATAGTGAATTGCCATAATTCCAGTATTTAGGAAGTCGAAGAGAATCGCAGTTAGGTTATTAAGAGGATGCTGTTTCAAAGTTGCTGCTGTTCATTTCTAAGATGTGTTTTTCATTATGCAGGGGTGGACTACTGCAGCATGGGGCACTCGTGTGACGAGAACGCGACGTGCATGAACCTTAACACCAAGTACACTTGTAAGTGCAACCAGGGCTTCCAGGGCGACGGACTTTCTTGTCAAGGTAATCCTTTTTCACATCTGTCCAATTCAACCTACATGCCCATTAAGTAAAATAAGTTGAATATGTGTTTTGATAACTATCTTTGGGAATAATAGAAAAAGTAAACGGCGACTATAAGTAATGTAGGATAGGGACTGGATCAGAGGGAGAAATCAATAAAAAAATAACCGAATAAAATTGACGCCGATGTAGTCTATCATTCATTTGACTATCATCATTCCAGATGTGGATGAATGTCAGCGTGCAGGTGGTCTGGACGGCCACCACTGTCACTCCAACACGCGGTGCGTCAACGTGGTCGGGGGCTACGTGTGCCAGTGCCTGCCAGGGTACACCAGGAGAGACAAGTTCAATTGTGTAGAAGTAAGATTGCAGCTGTATAATAGTAATGCCTACTAGTAGCCAAAGAACTCAGCGTTTTAGCTTATGACGACGTGTCGCAAGCGGCTCGTTATGGTGTTTGCGAAGAGGCTTAACTAATCTAATTAGCTAGGACATTTTTTTCCATTTTAAACTATATTTCAATGTAATTTTCGATAATTCCAGGTAGACGAGTGCGCGGGTGAGACACACGGCTGCCACGCGCACGCGGTGTGCACCAACACGCCCGGCTCGTACACGTGCCGGTGTCGGGAGGGTTACACAGGAGACGGCTACGAGTGCTCGCGTATGTACACACAAACATATGTGGTTATTAACATCAGTTTAACAGTTTACTTGTTGTGTAGATCAAATAGGAATTCTCTTGATAGCACTACGCGAGCGAACTGCTGAACCGAATTCGTGATTTTGTGTTATTGCCAAGTTTGCCTTCCGATTTTTATTATGAGTGTATTTTCCAGCAATCTGCACGGGAGGGTGCCTTAACGGTGGGGTGTGCGTGTCGCGCGAGAAGTGTGCGTGTGCGCACGGGTTCGGCGGCACGCGGTGCGAGCGCGACGTGGACGAGTGCCGCGCGGTGCGGGCGCCGGCCGCCGCGCCCGCCTGCCCGCGCCACGCGCTCTGTGTCAACACGCCCGGCAGCTACTACTGCGTGTGCGCACAGGGATATACACGGGACGCTGTGTTGGATACATGTCAAGGTACAACTTGACAAGTCACATTAGGAGCGGTGGCAAGCTTTATAACCACATTTACCTACATTCAATACCAAACACTGACGTTTTGATCTGAAAAATAATCTGTTGATGGGTTTGGCCATATGGCCCCCTTATATATTCAGTAGAAGACAAGTTTTAACTAAAATAAACGAAGCAATAATCACTGTAAAGTACATGTTAAGCTTAGGAAGGTACTATGTTGTTTTACAGATGTAGACGAATGCGCCGAAGGGTTCCACACTTGTCACCCGAGTGCGCGCTGCGTCAACACCGACGGGGGCTTCAGATGTGAATGTGATTCTGAAGAACATTGTGAATTAAGTAAGTATAGTCAAAGACTGGCCAAAGAAAGCTAGATCTGCGCGCAGAGCAAACCTTTGGGTGATGTTAATGTTGGTTTCTAAAGGTACCCACACCACAAGACAAAATTCAAATCGGGGTCACGTCTGCAAACATCCTTAACAATCTCCTAGACAGCTTCCACACATGACAAAATTGATTTTCAGGTTGTTCGTGGCAAGGTCGCATGATGGCGGATGGTGCTTCATGGTCAGAAGCTGGTGGGTGCCGTGCTTGCGCGTGCGCCGCCGGCGTGGCCTCCTGTCGCCTAGCTGCCTGCGCCTGCGACCTACTCGATAACCATACCACTGCGGTAATCAACCATCAACTGTATTCTGCTGTCTACAAAATAGAACAGTATAAACCTTGCTAGAGTATTCAGCCCATGAAGTTCTCAATTTTCGCTTTAGCACTATCTAAAGAATTGATATCAATAGATATTAATAGACGGTTGTTTGTATCAGTTGCAGAGCACGTCGCTGCCGAGCCTGGCGCCGGCATCGTGCTGCCCGCACTGCGAGGCTCGCTTCCACTGCCGCCACCAGGAGATGCACCACGTCACCTTCCGCAGCGGCGAGCGCTGGCTATATCAGTGCCAGATCTGCGAGTGTCTTGTGAGTACTTCTCTATGTCTGCGAGACCATAACCGAAAATAAAGCAAATTTTGTGAGACAGATTTGTCGGATCTGTCTTTGTGGCATGTTGGTGAAAGTTGTCTGTTTGCTTGCAGCTTGGTGAAGTGGATTGTTGGGAGCCTGAGTGCGGAGAGTCGGGCGCAGGGTGCTGCGCCGGGGGCCCGGCGGGCGCGGCGGGCCCCGGGGGCGCGGGGCCCCCGCGCCGCCTGGAGCTGGGCGGCTGTGCGCCCCCGCACTGCGCCGTCTGCACGGTGCGTCACACGCTCACCTGATGCATCGCACACACCCGCTCTCGGGGGTTTGGCAGGATACGCTCGCAGTCGCAGTTCATTCCCTCATGCATATTCAATGTGTCCACAGTAACCTCAACCATATCATTACTAACACGAGCCGTTTCGGAACTATTGTCTGAATTACATTGTCGTAGTTCCTAATGTCCCTTAAATGTAGGATATTAATTATGTTTACAATTAAGTACGACTGTGATAGTACGACGCGTGCCAGGCCCGCGGACGGGAGTGGTTGTGCTCAGTGCTTGAACTAATCGCTTGGTAAGGGCCGAGGCCGGCGCGGTGTCGGAGTGTGATCGCATTATGCTTGTTGCAGGGCGGCCAGTGTGCTACTTTGGTGAGCAATCTCGCGTGTTGTGTGCATCGGTAACCATCCCCACTCTTCTTATTCATTCATACATTTGCTCTATTAACACGTGTTTTTAGCTTGAGTCCTTGATTTAATCACATCGATCTTTAATACAGGCAATACCTGAACATCAGTATTATATTGTAGTTCACAACTTTATAAATACAAAATTGCTTATTGCTTGTATACAGTTTACCGCTGCTGCAAGATTGGATAGTAACATAGCTATCGAAACTAGAAAGGCATCTTTCTGTTTACTTTTCTTTTGTTTAAATTATCAAGTTGATTAGAACCAACGTAGTCATTTACTTAGTTATCATTTGTAGTTTGATCTATCTTGTACAGTATTGTTCTACTCGACCACCCTAGCTACCAGTCAGGGTTGTCAAGTAGTAAATGTATTAAATTGAGGACATTCATTCTAAAATCATTTTATGTTGCATGTTTTATCATTTACTCATCAAGTACATTTCGTAAACTGTCGCTTCTATATTATTTGACCGTCTCTACTGGAATGTGTCACGCTGTCAATGGCCTGACTTTTAAGTTTCGCATTCATGATCTTTTATCTCGAGTTTCCGTTGTTTTCCACGTTCCCCCACTAGTTTAGAAGTTAGTTAGAATAAAGAACGAATGCAAGCGGAGTGCCGGTACTGTCGTGTGTGCAGCGCGCGGCGGACGGCGCTGGCGCTGGCGCTGGTGGCGCTGTGGTGGGGGCGGGGGCGCGCGGGCGCGGCGCACCGCAAGCACCGCGGCGCGCGGCGCTAGAGCCGCCGTGAGCTGCGGCGCGGACGACGCGACGCCGTCTATTTATTCTAGATAGATCTAATGTTACCGCGGCGAGCGGCCGCGCGCCCGAGCCGCCCCTTCCGATTCTAAATTTAAACATAAGTCGATCGCTTACCATTATTATCCTAGAGTTAGCTGTTGCGGACGGCGCGGGGCGCGGGGGCGGGGCGCGGGGGCGCGGGGCGCGCGCGGGCGCCTGACTGTATAGTGTACGTGTGTACGTGTGTATAGTGTAGAATGTTACGAGTACCGCGCGCCTGCGCGCTCGCGCCCTGTTGTACCAAATTTTTCATAATATATTATAGTTTTTGTTTGACTTTATATAGAGATCGTTTTTCTTGTATAATTTGAAAGTAACCAAAAATAGGTACCAAATATAGAAAAAGATATGATTGTTTTTGATTTTCATAAAGCATTTTAATGCTTGCATGTTGTATTGTGTTCAAAAAATTACGATTAAAAAGATATCCTCGATATACACTCTTTTCATTTCCCTCTGTAACTCCTTTGTCGGAAAAAAAAACTAGTATAGTCAACTAAGACATTTATTTTACACATTTACTTATACTTTTATACAATTTAAGTGACATTTGGAAGTAATAATTTAATTACCGTTCTAAACTTTACCTAAAGGTGTTTCCAATAGAACTTATGTTAACTTAATCTGCAAACTGGCAACACTGTACGGGCCACTGATGTCTATGTCGACGGTGACGTCATGCACACCATGGAGCTACTCGGCTTTTCACAATGTCTGAGTACCCCTCTGTTAGTTCAAATGACGGATAGTTTGATGTACTAACAGCAACTTAATCAGACATTGTCAAATTACCACACAGGTACTTAACTGAGACCGAAAGAAAGTTTTCTTTTTAGACACATGACTATTTAGGTTTAGTATTCTGTATCTGTTGGAGAACCATGCCTCCTAATGCAGTTTTTTAATGCATATTAAACCCTTAATCGAAATTTGAGGCAAAAAAACAAAGCAGTCCCCCGGGCTTGAATTCACCACCAGTGTCGCTAGTGTAGCTTAAAACTTCTTGACTAAAAGCTGCACCGACGCCATCTAGCGATCGCAGAAACTTCAGACGTACTTTATAGTGTAGGTTGTGATGGTGTGCGCGAGTGGGTGGTGTTTAGATGGGGTTGTCGTGCGGCATGGCGGCGGGCGACGTGAGCGCCACGAGCGGCGCCGGCGGGTGCGCCAGGCACGCGATGCGCAGCGCCGCCGGGGGCTTGTACGACCGCGACACCTCGCCGCGCTCCACCACGCCCGTCACCATGGTGTACGCGGCCGCGAATAGGGTTACCGCCTGTAAAGTTAAAAGGTCCAAGTTAACTCATCTAAAACTAGGGTTAGTGGATGGGTGCTGCACAATCTGTTAAGGGTTAGATTCCCCAACAGAATAACCACACCACAGTAAACTCCTAAAGGTACCTATATCCTGTTACACATACAATGCTTTAAAAAGCTGCATAAATACGGAGCTTTAAAAAATAAAATTTACAATTCTTTTTAGCTGTCGGGAAAAAAGAGTAGGTATAATGACTGTATGGATCAAATGTCAAAAAACAATTAACAGTTGGCGGATATGTACTCTGTAGTTTAGTCCAGGAGACGTCCTATATCTACTTGTGTGGTCTTCAGACCAAGGTTAAGCAAAAATAACATCTTGTTAGTTGGTAGTAGTTAAAAGGAAGAGCTGAAAATCGAGTTCATTGTCGTACCATTGGATAGATGAATGGAAACAGACAGCTGATGGTAATGTATGATTTAATAGTACAATCACTTACCATGACAACGACGATGGCGGAGGACAGTGCAGACAGTGAGTACGTGAAGTATCGGAGCTCGGCGAGCGCGGGCCGCAGGCAGCCCATACTGTACAGCGGCGTGAGGCACATATCGCCGCGCTGCCAAACAAAACAATACCTTTAGATAGCAAGTTCTTCTTCATGATCTACATGGTCTCTGAACTGATCTTGATCTACTTGAACTAAACTCTAGTATATTCCTTTTTAAAAGGCCAGCAACACACCTGTAGCTCCTCCGGTGTTGCGGGTGTCCATAGGCGGCGCCGATAACCTACCACCAGGTGATTTGTCTGGTGTTTTGCCTCCTATACCAGAAAAAAGTAATTGCTACATAACTCATTCTTTCTCTTGGCCTTTTCTTCTTTAAAGTTATTAACTCGTTGAGTACCGTCTTTGTAGACACGATTATAGAACAGTAAGTTACGGTCACCGGTGACCGCTTGGTGTGTGACATTTTTCAAGTCGCAAACAAGCAGACGGATCTCGTGATGGTAAGCAATCAGCGCCACATACTAATCGATTACCGCCATCTGCCCTCCACTACTTAGGGTGATTCTTGATTAGACCCGGTTTGAAGATTCTGACGAGTGTCAAAGATATTTTTAAGCCAATCAGGCCTTAATGAGCTTCATTGTAGCTCAACAAAGTACTTGATTGTAATTTTATAGTTACCTTTCCGTTCCACATTTGTCCACAGCAGGCAGGTGGCAGCGTGCGGCGGTGCTGGTACCAGTCGGAGAACGACTGCACGCCGCAACATCTCAGCTGGAAAAAGGCCAAATACTGATTAGTACTCAATAATAAACCATCAACGATATTCTATCCGACGACACGTCGAACCTAAGCTGTATTGCAATAAAATCACCCCTGAATAACTGGAGATAATTAGGCTTCACATAAAATGCACTTCTTTCTACCTGCCCACCCATCATCTTTAGGAAATTAATGCGTGATGTTTAAGTTATATTAAACAACAACAGAATAGCTTTGAGGCTATTATTTTTAAGTCTTTATTTCATTTAGTCTATTTAGTCTTCTATTCTAAGGCTTTTATTTCATTTTTTATGGCATAAGCCGGTAAACGAGCAGACGGATCACCTGATGGAAAGCAATCGGCGTCGCCCATGGACACCTGGAACACCAGAGGCGTTACAAGTGCGTTACCGGCCAAAATTTAGTCTCTTTAGTCTTCTATTCTAAGTCTTTTATTTCATTTAGTCTCTTTAGTCTTCTATTCTAAGGCTTTTATTTGTATTCGTGTAATCGTATAAGAGACTATTCAAACTTAGTTATTTAAGTTAGGGATCTACCCAGAGGCGAATAAAACCTATAGAGCGTCCTAGCTAGGTACTTGCCTAGTTTGCTTTAGGGATAATACGGTTCTGGATCTACTACACTTTAACAAAACAACAATCATCATAGAAAAATAGGGACTTTCTAATATAAAGAAACAAAGCCGTCATTGCACTAAAGTGATTTCTGGTGATTATAACATCAGCACAACCTTCCCCTTAGCTGCAATACCCAAAGGCCTTTTGCCTATAACTCCTCAGATGTTCGGTGTATCCATAGCCGGTACTGAGTGGTCTCACATCCGGTAAACTGTTTTCTCCTTTACCCTATTCAACAAAACAATATCTAGAAATGGTACCTCAATCTGCATGGCGGCGAAGGAGCTCCTGACGGCGGGGTCGAAGGCATCGATGGACATAGCTCGCAGCATGCTGTTGTTGATCATAGCCGGTTCCCGCAGCGCACGCGAGAGCCCTGAGATCGACGACAACCCCATGGACAGCATAACCATGGCCACGCTCACTAACGCCATCAACTGTGGCACAAATATTTGGTGGATACCTCATCATCATAATCAGATCCATTGATTAACAAAGGCTTCAGAAAAATAATTACTGCCAAGGAGGAGTAATTCATACACATTAAAGGTATACGAACGTGTATCTACATATTAAAGGTACACGATTATACTTTATACTAGATAAGTAAAGGAAGATGATAGTAATCGAGGAAAATGTTTCTTAAACTTCGAAATTACCATACGAGACTCACCGTGGCCGTCAAAGACAAGGACTTGACGTGGTAGGGCACTACAGTGGAGAGCCAGCAGGTGGGCAGACACAGCAGCGCGCCCGCCAGGAACATGATGCTGGAGCTCAGCTCCACACCCAGGTCAGTCGTCCAGAAGTAGTATGACATACGCAACAGACTCCATGCTACTGACCCGCCTAGGATCGCACCACCACTCTGTTTGTGGACACGGCACAAACATTATATACCCATGACTATTAAAACCATGTGGTTTCGTGAATAAAAGAGTACAACCAAAATACTAATATTCATTTGTAGCCCCTTTTACAAACAATGATTTTATTTTAACGTATATATGTATAAAGGTCTGTACGATTCACTTCCTACAAGAGTTCTACAAGAAGTCCATAAACCCTGCTAAAGGGAATGTATATATATCGCTAAGACATTTTATAAGAGAGGTAACACTATTTAGGCTGGTATTCGGTTATCCTTGATAGACAGCGAAGAGAATTACCCATTTGTTATTAAGTATACCTCGTCACACGGTCACTGCTGAAATTAAGTTATGATATTAAAGATACGTAGACCAACTGGAGACAACTTTGACGTTATCTACTGTTTCAGAATGCAGTTTGTTGGTCAGTAAACAGTAGATATACTCACAAGCAGCAGGCCAGCACACGCGAACAACACCAGACCGCTGCTTCTCATCCCGGCTTTGTTTTTAATACTTTTTTATAATTATATTACTAATAAACGGTAAATACAATTTCAATATTATTTCTGACAATAAAAGTCACGCCACAAATTTGAAAGTATTTTGAAAATCGATTGCCTTAAGAAACTTTTTTAATTTTGTACCAAAAAGTTACAAAAGAGTACGCATTGTAGTCCTTGAACTCCAGGCACGATAGTATAGTAATGGTTTTGGAACTGGAAAACAACATTGGGGTCATTAGAAGAATAGGGTAGAAGAATTTTAACAATTGTGATGTCACCGTACCCTGATTCCAACTTTGAGGAAGTAAGGTCTTCTCACAGGATACCACCATAAAATAAACTTTATGTTATTGCAATAAAATCGAAAATCTATTGAAGAAATTTTAGTTTCGAGTACTTTGACAAAGGTGTGGTCTTTACTTCGTCCCCGCCTTCGCCATCCTGAGTAAAAGGACGCGATATTCTATATACGTATACAATGTAACGATACAATTCGCCAGTTATGTCATCAATTCCATGTAATGCTCCATCGAAAATAGGAACAATCATAACCCTCAGCAGTTTATTTTAAAACAAATTCATAATCAGAACAATTTAATTACAATAATTAATACGAATAAATGTAATAAAATATATTTATTTGTTCACAAAAATGAGCTAAAAGTTTACAACAATAACATAAACAAAACGAATTCAAAATAAATTACTTATGACTTATTTTCTGAGGCTATACAGATCCATGTAACGACATGATACCCAATTAATTCTAAAACGTGAAGGATTGCTATTGTTGTTATTTGCTTTCATACTAGTGCTACTAATAATAATATTTCAATACTTATTTACTTGCTTACTCAAACTATTCCTTAGTAACGATTTTGATCCGAAAACTAATCCTAAGGACTGGGTAGTAAGCAAATAACCATTTAATTACTGAGTATGGCGGTTAGTCACAAGTAGGTTGACGCAAATAAGTTAAAAGTCAAGTCGAATGCATCTTCGCTATTTCAAAAGACTTGTCCATACAAAAGAATCCCTTACAGAGTATTATAAAATTTCACAAAGATCAATTAATTTAACGTGTCTGATCAACTAACTAGCATTTACGATAACTATTAATAGATCTACATCGCTTCTAAAATACAAAACAATGTAAGCCACGTCGAATGTTGTATACAGCAGGGTAACAACATGATCATAATTATCATTATGACGCTATAAATACCACTTTTGCCTTAGGTAAATCCAAGAAAGTGGTGGGGAATCCCTGGCATATAAATATAGTATAGAATTAACTAGAGTGAGTGATGAATAAATCGAAATATCGATATACAAACCGGAATATCGATATCAAAATCGGAATCCATTCGGAATATCGACTAGTCTTCCTGTCACAAACTCTTCGCCTTCCTATCTTTGAGTAAACTAGTGATGAAGAACTCTCCAGCTCTGTATGAGGATCTGACGAGAGGTCCACTGGCGGTGTAGAGGAACCCGAGTTCATTGCCCCGGACTTCCCACTCCTTGAATTTAGCTGGAGTGACGTATTCAAAGACTTTTAGATGTCGTTTCGTTGGCTGCATGTATTGGCCTAATGTTAGACAGTCAACACCCGCCTCGCGAAGGTCTGGAATAAAAATGAATTACAGTGCGCTATGAGAATCCTTCAAACCGTTAAACTGCGATGTCCATGTCGCTGACAAGCGTAGGGTTTATAGGAAAACCTGGATTATAGGAAATGGTCCATATTCGTAGATTCATAGTCTAGCAGTGACTGTTCGAGGTTGTGGGGTTTAACACGACACGATAACTCAGCGAATATAGAATCGACATAGTAAATCGACGGGTTAAGTAAGGCTTATTTTTTAATGTCTTTATGTCACTTCAAGCAAGCAAACATGAAAGTTCACTAAACATATATTAATGCTGTGTTACCCTTACCTTTCATAGTCTGTTCAACTTGCTCGTCAGTCTCGCCGAGTCCCAACATAATTGAGGACTTGGTTATTAGGTCCGGGTTCACTTCCTTGGCCGTCTGCAGTACTTTTAGAGTCTGACGATATCTGAAGAGAGACATCATTGTTTTTATTAGAAAGAAACTAGGTTACCAAAAAGTTATTAATATATTAAATCAATTCTTAATTAAACTATATCAGTATATAGTTTAATTAAGAATTAGTCAGATATCAGTATATCTGACTAATTTCGAGCCTTAACGGAGCCGTTAACTATTTTTATACGTGCACGCAAAGGTGCCGAGCAACCATTAAATACACGTGTATAAGTCGTATAAATATTGGGAGGGACTCTTCGTGAGGAGGAGTGCCTGTATGTATCTGTGACTCGAAACTAGTAGAGATTTTCTCAGTATATTGACGCAAGTAAACCGCAATTTTTAGTTAATTCAGTATGTTTGACGATAGTTATTATATAAACATTACTTAACTCAATATATCTCATGATAAACGTAAAATATAGCGTAATAGTAATTTTGAGAAAGTTACCCAGCTCTAGGATCCCTGACGAAAGGTGTGAGTCGCTCGACTGTCTCTATGTTGTGTGCGAACACGTCTAGCCCGCACTCCGCTATGGTCTGGATACAATCCCGGTTACCTCTGAAGTCTGGTACTAGACATTCCACCAGGATGTCTTTGTTCCTGAGAACGAATATTACACAGATTATTTGTTATTCTTTGTTAGGTGTTGCATAGCCATTAACAAGTTTTCTATGGGTGCAAATGTGCAGACGGAACATCTGATAGTAAGTAATCGACACCACTCATGGACGTCCGCAACAACAGAGGTTAGGGTGGCCCGCCTAACTAATGCGTTAATCTGATTCACATAATGAAACAAAACGCAAGCGTTGTTTCTCGTCAGTTTGCTGTGCGGCCTATTAAGGCTATATATGGAATTAGTTTAATATATCGTACCTCCGGTGCTATAACGTCACTTATGTATTGCGGAGGCCCGCGCACAACTGAACAATGAAACGTTGTTTCTCCTAGTGCCGTCCAGATTAGCGCCAAAACCGTAACGACAGTAATGCCCTCTCAATGTCAGTTTGCTTACTACACAAATGACAATAAATAACGCACCAAGTAAAGAGGTGAATTTGGAGTATTCTTTCATCAGTTAAGGTTTGACAAAAATTGCATAAATGACGATATTGCACCCTAGGTGCGATATTGGGATTCGATATATAAATAATGGGATTCGATAGAGGGAGAGTGAATATTTTTAGTATATAATTACGGTGATCCATTACGTCGAGGGAATGTAGATGTAAATATAAAGAAGGATACTTACTGTCGTTTGATTTCTCTAACAGTTTCGGCGAAATGAGCGGATCCACCGTCGGGCAAGTCTGTAAAAGAATGGTTAGTTTATGACGAAATTACCGATCTTATGTATTATCTTTGGTCATTGTAGTGTCGTATAATCGTGGCAAAGAGAGTACAAAGTGAAATTAGAACAGTTTGATAAAACATCTTATGTAATTCTTTCTCGTCATTGTGTCTTGTTTCAGTCCGTTTAGTAGTATATGTTTTCAATGAAACAATAATATGTATTGTTGATTTGCCTTAATAAAATAAATATTAGTGGGGTTGTATGTTACCGTCTCTATCGACAGATGTGAGCACGATGTACCCGAGTCCCCACTGGTTGATGGCGTGCGCGGTGTTGTGTGGCTCGCGCGGGTCCAGCGGCGGCGGCCGCCGAGACGTCTTCACCGAGCAGAACATGCAGCCTCGAGTGCACGTGTCACCCATCAGCTGTACATACAAATTCACTGTGTAATCACTACTGAGAACCGTACTAAACTCATTGAAAATACCGGTTCACTAATACTGTCTGGATACTTAGATCTTTAAATTTAGAACACGGTTTTTGATAAGATTTTTTTTTATTTTAGATTCAAATGTATAATGGCATCCATCACTACCCGTGCGTAAAGCTGGTGTAAACTCTATAAGTTTCAGGTCACACCAGGACTCTCAAATCAAATCAAATCAAATCAATTTATTTGTGAACACAGGTTATACAGAAGGGTGTATAATATACATTAATAGCATCTCTATGTTCTACCAATAAAATTGGTGTATAAATCCATATTAAGTTAGGCAGGTACCAAGCATTATTAATATATTTAAATTTAACAAGTATAAAAGAATCATGATAGTATGTCAAAATTTATCATTTAGAAATAGGTCAATAGAATAATATGTCTTGTCAATTAAAAATAATGTCAGTTTTCGATTAAAAAGTCTAATATTATTTTCGTTTCTTATAATAATATAGATAGGCAGTTTATTATAAATTGTTGGAGCCATTGCAAAGATACTGTTCCTGTACAGTGCAGTTCTAGATTTTAATAAATGTAACTGGTCACACCGACGTTGACTGGTTACTCGGTCAAAATTATTAAAATTGTTTTTGACGAACATAGCAGTTTCATAGATGTATAATGAGGAGACCGTCAAAACTTTTAAAGTTTTTAAAGAAAGTGAAACCCAATGCATCTTTTTTGACACTTGAATACCATTTCTTTACCGGTTGCATTCCCCCAGAAAATAATTCCATATCTTAATGTTGATGCTGCTAGACCATGATATGCTGTCAACACTGTTTTTCGGTATGCAGTTTTATTTAACATGTGAAGAGCATAGAAATATTTATTGTCTACTTGACTGCTAACTTATCTAGAAAGTCGTATATGGCCATATCAATTGACTTATTCTTTCTGAAACCTTTTTGATTGTCAACTAGTAAATTATTTTTTTCAAAATATGAAGTGATTTGATTATTAATTACTTTTTCGTAAATCTTATTATTGGTACCAGAGCAATAGGTCTGTAACAGGACATATTTTCTCTGTTGTCTTTCTTAAAAAGCGGTTTTATTGTAGTAATTATTAATTCACTGGGAAAAGCACTCTTATTCAAGAGCAGCATGTGTGATGTCGCAGTAGTAATTAAAACTAGTACAAGCTGTGCCCGACTAGTTCATGTAAGTAAACCGTAATTTTGAATTATATTCTGTTACAATGATGTAACATTTATATTTGAGATACAGTAGGATTTTCTAGGCTACAAAATAGATGGAGAAAAAGATGTATATTGCTATTCCAATCCCTATGTGCACAATATTAAGGTCCATACCATTATAGTAGCTGTAGACGTGCCATGTTTGCCCCCACTCCAGCACTCCCCGATGTTAGGGCAGCGCGCCTCCTCACACACAGTGCTCAGTTTCAACTCACGAAGTTGCTTCTTGATTCCCGTAAACTTTGACCCTGGAAATATAGATTTATTTTATAGACCTCACCTATCAATGCATTTTAATAAGGACCTGAAATAAATTAACTGTTAACATGGTTTTCATGTGTCTAAATAACTTAATGGAAACCACAAAAAGTGTAAATAAAATTACGATAAGTTAAACAAATAGTGTGATTCAAATGTTACTATTTGATTTTTGCTAGTTACACTAAACATGGCTGGACATTGATAACAAAGTGTGATAAGAGTGTGTTCATTAGTTCATGCAGACTATTATTTTATTGTCTTTAAGGTTATTTTCTTTTTCGATCACTTTGACTAGATTTTAGTGTTACAATGTTCTCGCACAATCCAAACAGCAAACTATGTAACTAGAGAATGGGGTAGACGACTAATTTTTATTTTAATGTCCGTCTGGTAGATTATTTAAAAACATTAGACACGTATTTTTTATTTTCTTACGGAAACGAATAGTTTCGAAGATATATTGATTTGAAATGTCGCGTGACGTCACTTCTCAGTACATTTTATACTAAGAAATGACGTTTTAGCCCCCACTCCTAAACTTTGATTCGTTTTATCTAAGTATTGTTTTATTATACAACAAAATAAAAAAATACGTGTCTAATATTTTTTTATTACCTAAGTTACGGACTAATTATATTTTTAATTTTCATACCCTGTCATCATCCCCATT